AAAATCTGTAGTTTTTATTGTTGTTAGCTTTTTTGCCTTAAAGTTTACTTTTTAGTGTTTAGATTTTTGGTATTTACTTTATATCTTGCATTTGACTCATAGCAGCTAAGCTGCAGAAATCATGTATTGTGTTTTGTGATTATAATAATAATGCATTTGAATTTTCAGTGGCAAGGATAACATGCTCCCCAGCCGAGATGAAGCTTCGAAGCTTTTGAGCACATTGCAGAATTGCAAAATGAGATATTTCAATGATAACGGGCATACCATATTATTGGTAGGTGAGAATTTAGATGATTAAGAATATTCTGAAGTATATCTATCCATTTGTTTACTTTCGAGCAAACTGTATAGTTTCTTTATTTTCTCTTCAAAGAAGAATGTTGCTGTTTATTTTATATATTTTCACTTCTTTTTATATTTTCTAATGTCCCTTCACATTTGACTGCTATAGATCTCTCTGCATAAGATTTGATGCACTATAGGACTTTCTCATTATTTCAAGAACAAGATTATTGTTGTCGTTTGATTATTGGTAGTCTTAATTCTCCTCATGGTTAATCGAATCATAAGAACCTTTACCGATGCAGGAAGATGGCATTAATCTACTGACTATCATTAAAGGCACTTCTACCTACCGTCGTTCGAGTAAACACGATTACATCATGGATTTTGTACCTCCCAGCAAATCGGAGTTCAAGCTGGCGATCGATGGAACTGGGTAAATTTTAATACAACCTTTTCTTCTGATTTACTTTCAAGTTAACATTAAAATAATGTTTTTGCTTTTAAAAGTTCAATGTAAACTCGAAAAATAATCAGAATCGGAAATCTAAAATCACCACATGGAAAATCTGTTTTTCCATCAAAGTGTTTGCAGTGTAGACCTGTAAGCCCAGAGAAAAAAAAAACTTGATATTATCCAGTTTATACTAAATTCCTGATTTTTTTTGTGTGTGTGTGTGTGTGTGATGGCTTAAAATCCAATGATAGATGGTTTATGAATTACGTGAGCCCGGTGCTTCTGTCCACTACTGAAGATGGGAAGATAGTTCCGGGCCTAGCTGGGGTACCTGATGAAGGCCCGGTTATGTTGGTTGGCAATCACATGCTTATGGGTGCTGAACTCATTCCACTAGTCGAGGAGTTTCTTCGGGAAAAGAAGATCAATGTCCGTGGGATGGCTCACCCGACATTGTTCGCTCCACTTGTTGAAAATGAAAATAAAGAGTTCTCATTTTCCGATTACATGAAAATATACGGTGCATTGCCAGTCACTCCGAATAATCTTTTCAAGCTGTTGAACATGAATTCTCACGTGCTGCTTTATCCTGGTGGCGCTCGTGAGGCTCTCCACCGCAAGGTTTTGCCGACTTTTTTTGTGTTTTTAATATTCTTCTACTTTATAAATACTTAATTAATTAGACTTTTAAATATATTAATTCTCAGGGTGAGGAGTACCAACTGTTTTGGCCTGACCAGCCAGAATTTGTGAGGATGGCTGCACGATTTGGAGCGACAATTGTGCCGTTTGGAGTTGTTGGAGAGGATGACTTAGCAGAGGTACTGTTATTTATTTCTATTCATAATAGTGCACAAATTTATTTTCATGCATCATGAATGTGCTTTAGAGAATGAAGAAAAGAGATGAAAAAATGAAAAAGAAAGGCAGTGATATTTCTCATTCTTATTTTAAAATTTGGCAGCTAGCTTTGGACTACGATGATCTGTTAAAAATCCCGATTTGGGGTGACCGTGTAAGAGAGGAGAACGAGAAGTATGACTCGTTTAACGTCAGGTAAAAACGTTAGCTGAAAATTTGCGCTCTTTTTCCAACCATTTGAGAATGAAAGATGCTATTTGCATGCCACTCGTGTGTTTGTAGGGCCGGAAAAAGTGGTGAGGTGGCAAACCAAGCTTTGTATCTTCCCATGCTTTTACCAAAATTCCCAGGCCGATTGTACTGCCTATTCGGAAAGCCGATTCATACTAAGGGATTACAGAAAGATTTGTTGAAGGATAGAGAAAAGGCAATGGAACTCTACTTGCAAACAAAGTCAGATGTCGAAAAGAACATATCGTATTTGCTCGAAAAGCGAAATGAGGATCCTTACAGAGGAATTGTCGATAGGACAATATACCGTGCGCTCTACACTCCATTTGATCGTGTCCCGACGTTTGAACCGTAAACGGTCTAGCTCGATGTGCTGGTTAATTTGTTGTAGTTATTTAATTCGTTGATATGTAAGTTGTAACAACATTTTCTTACATTTGTTGTATGTGTTACAAACTCAATTAAGGCATCAAGATATATGCATTACACGGCTTTGAGACTTAAGGAAGAATCTCATGCATTGATTTTTCAAATCATAATACAACTTGAAAAACAATGGGTAATCTCAAGAATGTAAATTTCATTTCATCTCAAGAAAACACTTGAAGTCACTAGCTTGTGCATGAGCAAAGGAAGAAATATGTTTTGAATCAGTTTCCTTTGGAGTTTACCATGATGATCCATGATTTCTTTCATAGTATCAGAGCATAATTTTCCTTTCTCTGACCGTTTCTTTAATCTCTTCTTCTTCTTTTTTTTTTTTCTTTATTTTAAACCATGAACCAGAATATAAAAGCCTTGCACGTGCAACATCTGAGATTATGTGAATCAAGTCATTGCTCTCTGCATTGGGTCAACTAAAGGCAAAACTCCAGATAACCAAAGCATTGTGTTTCTAGCTTCAAATCCTATCACACATGGAAGAACAAGGTATGTGGAGCCAGATTACCGATTTGTTAGAGAAAAGATGACTACAATTAAGAAACTGCTTGTTCATCATGTTACCTTTGTGGAGCAGATTGCTTTACAAAGCCTATGTCAAATCAATTCAAATTGGGAGCTCTGATATTTCAGCTCAAGAAACTATCCAAATAGACCTTACACATGCTTCTTTGAACAACTCCTGCATGGAAACAAAGAACATAATTTCTTTTCTACCTATATGGAGAGAGACAGCCAGACACATGGGATATGTCCAGCTCAGCAGCTTCATCTTGTGACCATTGGATTAGAATTTACGAGTTAGAGATCCACCTTTCACTGTTGTGTATATATTCAACAGAAAATAGAATTGCTTAGGTTAAGTTTTCAGAAAACAATGTAGCCGCCAGCTTGTGCATGAGCAAATGAATAAATCTGTTTTTAATTAGTTTCCTTATCATGAAGATCCATGATTTCTTTAGTCCAATCAACGCCACAGCCGCATGGGTGTGCGGGCTTGATCTAATAGTACATTAAGATCTAATCTTACTCAAGAAATGACATCCATAAATGCCAATTACTGACTTTGAAATTTGAAGAATACTCTTATGCATTGGTATCTCAAATGTGGATTGAAATTCACTCACTATTTTTAAATACCAAAACATAAGAACATGTAGAGATATTATTAAATTTTGTACCCAGTGTTTCAACACAATGACCATGGGAGTCAGTTGGTTAATGCACAATCCAACTTACAGTGCCCCCACTTCAATTACGGATGCCCATCGGAGTGTTGACAACTACTATGCTCACTATTAATTATTTGTCTCCACAAAGGCCCAACAATAACAATGCGACCAACATCAACCAACTGGCCCATTAATTCAACATCCTCCGAGAAAGCTCCAGAAGAATAAAAATAGGGCCTTCTGTCACCACGTGTCACATTATCCACATTTTGTTAAAACGATGGTCCCGCAAAACCCTAAAAAGTGGCCAATTTTTGCCATCCGATCACAATTCATCAAACCTTGGAGAATCTTGGCCGTCGATGCTGCTGATCCCATGATCCGGCGCTTCAGATTTGTCCACCTGCCCACTGAGGAGCGTCGTCCTGTCCTCGCACCTCAGCCGCTTCACGCCGATCGAGACCCCAAATATCCGAGGGCACATTCCCTCCTCCGCCGCGCCCTGCATCTCCGGCGATATTTCCGACACCCTCCCATCCTCGTCCGGATTCGCTGCGTAGCTAGACATTAGACTGCATATATTGCCGCAAAGGCCCCTCAGCCGATTCAATTCCTCCCTCATCTGCGAATTCTCTCGCCTGAGTCTCTCGTTCTCTTCCAGTATCACCGGCGTCGACGTGCAGGACCGCAGTGCCAGCGGTGGAGCGGTGGTCCCCGTGGGGGATGAGTTGGAGGACACGACCTGTTCGTCGCCGGAATTCGCAGGAGAGGCCTGGATGGAGGCGGGTCGTGCGGCGGCGGATGGAGGCGCCGCCGGTACGGCGGAAGCTCCGGTCACCATTTTCCGGCGCTGGATGTCTCTGAGCATCGCCTTCTCGCCTCGCCGGAAACAATCGTTGGCAAACTCCCACCGATCCGGAACGACTTTCCGAAATCCCTGCATAATTGAATCGGATTAGAAATATTAATCGGAAATTTTCATGGGAAAGGGGGAAGAAGGAGTAGCAGGTTACATAGGTATTGAGCTGCCGGACAAAGCTGGAGAAATTGTTGTGCTTGAAATATTTGGGCAGCAAATCTCGGGAAAATTCAGCTGGGCGCCATACGATGAAGGCCGTGCCGTCTTCATTCCACGAGATCAAATCATCCAAATTGGGATCCTCCACAATCTGATAAGTTTTCGTCAGAAACGGCGTCGGAAGGGACCTCTGCGTCTCCAATTTCGTGGGCTCTCCGCCGCCTCCGGCGGCGCCGCCAGCAGTGCCGTCGCCAGCAGTGCCGTCGCCGCTCATCTCACATGAACAAACAATAGACACCACAGCAGATTTAAAATAAAAACCTACAATATCACCACGAAAAAAGTAAGGATTGTTCGAAAATCAACCGAATCCGATTAGATTACGGAAAATGTTTCACTCAACGATTATGCAAAAATAAATAAAAGATAAAAAAAGAAATTTTGGTGAGAAGAGAAGAGAGCTGTGGATAGTTATGATATTTCTTTTCTAGAAGCTTCTTCGAATAGAAGCTTGAAGATAATAGATAAAAATGAAAGGAAAATACTACATGCATCTAATATAAATGTGAAAAATGTACATTGTCAACTTAGTGTACAACTAAGTTGACAACATAAGTGAAAACAATCAATTGTGTATTTTTTTTTTATTTTATTAAATGTTTTCACTTGTGTTGTCAAACTAGTTGTATACTAAGTTGACAATGTACATAACACTCACATAGAGTGATTTAAAAAATGCTACAAACACTCACATGGAGCAGTACCACTACCGTGTGCCTTGGCACACCTAACAACGTGTGTCAGAGTCAATTATGCACGCGTATTCACCCCCAAAAACTAGAAAAATGAGAAATTGTGGTACACATGTCACTTTCTTTTTTTTTTAAATTGAAAATTAGACATATTAGATAAATTAAAATATCATTAATGATTTATTAAAATAAAAAAATAAAAATACCAAAATTCATAATTTTTCATTTTCTATAAATAGAGACCACATTTGATAGGTTTTTTAGCATAATTAATTTTTTTCGTAATCAATTTATTATACTGACATAGGATGAACATGTTACATAATAAGATGAATATGTTATCAAATAAGATGAACATGTTACGGATTGCATAATGAAATAATACATGTTCATTTTATTTTATAACATGTTCATCTCATTTGTAACATATTCAGCTTATTTTATAACATGTTTACCTTATTGTGTAAATATGTAACATGTTCATCTTATTTTATAACATGTTCATTTTACTGTGTAACATGTTTATCTTACTATGTAACATGTTCATCTTATTATGAATTTTCGTCTTCATTTTCCAATATAAATTAATTGTGAAAAGTGATAATTAATTGTGTTTTAAAACCTATCAAATGTGGTCTCTATTTGTAGAGAATGAAAAATTATGAATTTTGGTATTTTTAATTTTATTTTTTAATATAAAATATGAATGATAATTTAATTTATATAATATGATATATAAAATTCATTATCCAATAGAAATGGGACACTGTCCCATTTAAAAAAAAAAAAGAAAAAAACTTACCTCACGCTTTTTTTAGGAATTGTATGACACACCTAGCAAGTTGTTTCAGGGCACACCTAATTATTTGCGCACATGGAGCTCACATAGAGTGGTCCACTTGATTTTTTATTTGAAAAATGCACAAGTACATAAAGATGTATATAACATTTACATGGAGTGGAATACACTTGATTTTTTATTTTAAATGTGTGTGGTATGTATACCTCTATGTACACTATTATGTATCTTTAGCATTTTTCTTTTTATTTTTGATAAGTACTACTCAATGTGAGTGTTATGTACACCCCTATGTCCAATATTATGTACCTATAACATTTCTTTATTTTTAAAGATATTGAGAAAATTGGGGAGTTATACTACTAAATATCATTTTAATTATATATTTACGCTTCAGCCTTTATATATATTTAATTTAATTATTTATTACCAAAATAATTGGTTCAAATCTTCTCAAATTTCATAATGAACTAATCAATAAACTAACGTCCAATAGTAATTGTCAAAATTGGTCGAAATAATTGAACGGAAAAATTTGTAACAAATATAATAAAATAGATTGGTTCATTATATATATAGATATAGATATAGATATAGATGTCAAACTCTAAATTTGTTTGTATTCAAAATTTATTCTTCTAAAAAATAATATTAATTTAAAATATATTAACTTTCTGCTGTAATTTTCCTATAATTACTTCATCATGTAGCCATAATTGTACATAATTTTGTTTGAAGGTCTACAATGGAATTTACCCAAAATTTGCACATGAGAGGTTCTACAATTTTATTCCTTTTATTGTGCAAGATCGTAAAGATAGATTTTTCAGTCTCTACTCCTGCTCTGCGTTTCCTGCTACTTTTAGGTCTTCAACTTCTATCATCGTCTCCTCAAGGTTGGCCCCTCTCTATATTCCTCCGTCCTCCCAAGAGTCACGTGGAGACGCAATCTGCTGTTGCTAGTTACTGGTACAAATTGTAGTATACCTGTTTGACAAAATGCCTAAATGATGAAATAATGGAGCCCTAAGTCACCCTCTGAATTTGCTTTCATATAGATAATGCTTCAATTGAAATGTTTCCCCACGAGTTTTTTATGTTTCCATTGTTGAATTCTCATTTCTTTTTCTTCTTCTTTGTTTATTCTGTTTCTTGATTTTAGACCTAGCACAGAAATTAACTGAATTCAGACGATGCCCTGAGAATTGAGTATGCGATTGTCAAGACCATCTTCATTTTGAGGTTACGCTGTGAGGAGTTGATTCCTACTAATCCACACTATTTGCAATTTCGACGAAAAAGATGTCTGCTTTGGCTGCTTCAAGAGTCCTTCTTCTTGTAGGGGATACCTTATCCTCCACCAAATCCTTTGGCTTCTCACGCATAGCAGCACAACCGAGCGGCGTACGTCTTTTCGGTCGTGTGAGTACCAAGAGCGAGCCTCTCACCCTTGCAAATCTCGGTTTCAAGGGGGAAATCAAGGCAGGAAAGGGAAACGAGAAAAACAAGCTCAAGCTAGGGGTTTCCACAGTCGAGTTTCCCAAAAGAAAGGAAAAAACCGTCACCCCTAAAGAAACCAAAGGTATCAAGACGAAAGAGAGAGTCGATATAGCCTCATTAGCTCCATTCGCCGCAAAATCCTTCTCGGAACTCGGCCTTCCTCCATCACTAGTCGAGAGGTTGGAGAAAGAAGGCTACAAAATCCCGACCGCCGTCCAGGCTGCCGCAATCCCCACCATTCTTAAAAACCACGACGTCGTGATTCAGTCCTACACGGGCTCCGGCAAAACCCTAGCCTACCTCCTACCCATACTTTCTGAAGTGGGCCCGCTCGCGAAGAACAACAACGGGCCTCGGGCCAGAACCGATGTCGAGGCAGTTGTCGTGGCCCCGTCTCGCGAGCTCGGGATGCAGATTGTGCGCGAAGTTGAGAAGCTGCTGGGGCCTTCGGACAAGAGGATGGTGCAGCAGCTTGTGGGGGGCGCGAACAAAGCCCGGCAAGAAGAGGCCCTCAAAAAGAACAAGCCCGCCATTGTCGTGGGGACACCTGGCAGGATAGCTGAGATAAGCTCGTCGGGAAAGCTCCGAACCCACGGCTGCCGGTTTTTGGTTCTGGATGAGGTGGACGAGCTTCTCGCCTTCAATTTCAGAGAGGATATGCACCGCATAGTGGAGCATGTTGGGAAAAGGTCAGGTGCAGGCCCGAAAGCCCAACGGGCCGAACGTTTGACTGTGATGGTGTCTGCGACTGTACCGTTCTCCGTGGTTCGGGCCGCCCGGAGCTGGGGTTGCGACCCGCTTCTTATTCGGGCCGAGGGTGTCATCCCACTCGAGTCCGTCGGTATTGGGCCTGGGCCCGGGCCCGTTAAGCAGTCTGGTGTGGAAAATGGGCCGGCCTTGGCTCCAGTTCAGAGCCTGCCTCCTTCATTAACTCATTACTACTCTGTCACGAGAGTACAACACAAAATCGACACGCTGAGGAGGTGCGTACACGCGCTTGACGCAAAATGCGTGATAGCTTTCATGAACCATACGAAGCAGCTGAAGGATGCGGTGTACAAATTGGAGGCTAGGGGGATGAAAGCGGCCGAGCTGCATGGGGATCTTGGGAAGCTTGCTCGGTCGACTATTTTGAAAAAGTTGAGGAATGGGGAGGTGAGGGTGCTTTTGACGAACGAGCTTTCGGCCAGGGGATTGGATATTCCGGAATGCGATCTCGTGGTTAATCTGGAGTTGCCTACGGACCAGATTCATTATGCGCATCGGGCAGGAAGAACGGGCCGTCTAGGAAGGAAGGGTAATGTGGTCAGTATTTGTGAGGAGCCGGAAGTGTTTGTCGTGAGGAAGATGCAGAAGCAGCTTGGGGTGGTTATAAAGGCTTGTCAGTTTGCGGAGGGAAATCTTGTTGTTGTTGATGAGGAGGAATGAACGCGGCCTGTGTGATATTCGGTAACTTTTAGTTTCTCGTTTTGGTTTTTTGTTTAAGAGTTGTTTGAGATTCTCCTTAAACTAGTTCACAGTCTATACTCTGAATTCTGATATATGAGAATACATTTTGGACTCATAATCACTCATAAACATCAATCATTTGGTTTGATGATTGCATTTCATGGGTTTTCTGCTGTTAGTGTATAAGATGTGATGAATGTATTATGTTTCATTGCCTGTAAGTGACAATTCTTGAGAGAGGCCTAAGTTTGCCTATGTATTTGATCTTGTCAGTCGTATGAGTGGTTTTATTCGTTTTATAGATAGCTTTACCTGCCACATAACGAAGACGAAATATATGACAGCAAATCTAGAGCGGTGGCTCTAAAAGTAAAAATTAGACTGTCTCATACAAAAAAGTTTAACGAGTCGACCAACCTAACTATTAGATAGAATCGTAATAGAATTTGTGTTTCTTGGAACGATTGTTACTGCAACATGCCTTGCCTTTCATTGTTCATTTGCTGTCTTTCATACTTGACACGTCTTATGAAATTTTTAACAATGATTCTAATAATTTCCAATTGTTTACTTCTACTCAGTCAGTACCTATCATTATCCTAATAACACAAAAATGGTCAAACATGGTAACTGCTTTTAATGTCTGCACCATGTCCTGGAATTAATTCCGTGAGACGGAGTCTTAGCATCAAAACCATTGTACCCGACCCATATCCGAAAACTGAAAATGTAAATTAGTTTGGCGTATGTGGGACCCGGCGGCTAATCAGAATTCCATGCTCTTTGCCAAAGAGGCTGCTATGGTTACAGTGAAAGTTATCTTTGTTGCCTGTAAGCATTTTGCACCTACCATTCCACTTTTTTGGACCTTTCTTTCCTTTTGTTGTTTTCTGTCCGCGAATGAATTGCGTGTTGTATTAATTAATTTTTGGGGAGCGGCTGTCGATAGGAATATAAGGGTGTAGTTGGATATGTTATAAAACTAGAGAGAAAAAAAGAGAATAGAGAAAATGTTTCTCTTAGTTGTATTTTTATTATAATTGAAATTCTTATTTATAGAAAAATTTTTGATGGCACAATTGTAATAATACAATTACATCAGGAGCAAAATAGTCATTCACATATATTTTATTATCACCTCATGAGGTGCATGCACATATATTATAACATTCCTCCTTGAATGACTATTTTCTAAACATCATTATTCGAATAAAACATAATCTAAACATCTGGGACAAAACTTGATCATTTTAGAATCAATCCATTGCTCCCTCAGTAAAACCCGTAGGGACAAAATCTGAGCATTGTAGAAGCACAACATTGTTCCCCCTTCAAATCTAGCATCTTTAGTGGAGTATCCATTGCTCCCCATTCAAATATATCATCTTTAGTGGAGTATCCACGTGCTTCCTCATTAAAACATTGTCAAGAAAACCCAATAGGAAGAAACTTGATCGAAGGAAAAAGTGTACAACTACTCCAGTTACTCTTATCATCGTGAGGAATCATATCATTTATCCAGTAGTCCTCGTTATACCATGAATATGCCTCGTTAAAACCTTATTAGGAAAAACTCAGTGGTACAAAATCCTAATGAAGGAAAAAGAGTACACTATTCATGTGAATACGCCATCCCTGTTGCATCATTAAAAACCTTGCTGGGAAAATCCAATGGGAAGGGAAAAAGAGTACAACGCTTATTCCATATATTCACCATAATAATATTTTCATAATTATCACAATATCAACGCTTCCAGCGTATTATACCACCATCATAATATTTCACATATTTCACCTCCACCATTATCATTCAATTTATTTGCACACTTCCAGTGTGATAAATTTCAATCATTGATTATCCTCCTCGTCTTAACAAATCTCTGATCTGTATTTTCAATATTGAATTTCTTGAGAGAACTTCATATATTCTCCGTTTCGTTCTCGATTTCAATATGTATATATAATAGGAGAACTTTGAACTCATATTACTTGTAATATACACATTTTTCTTTCAAGATTTCATCGTATTAGTAGATATATTACTAGCTTTATTACTTTCATATGACACTTATTTTTATTATTTTATAATTATCTCATAACTTCAGGTTACGTGTCATATGCATATTCATTTTTCAAAACATCTTGTAACTTCAGGTTACGAATTATATAATCATGTGCCTGTCTAGTGGATCCATAATATTTAATAGCACACATGAGAGAGGTAGTGGACCCATATATCGTACCCCATTTTCATACTGGTTCACAAATATGTAGCTAGTAATAATTTTCGCCAATCAAGAACAAAACATCACATATCACAAATCATGCAAACCATTATCATTTATATCGGTAAACATCACAGTAATTCATATTTATCACAAACATATCACATCATCTTTCAACAACAATAAATGCACTTTTAGTGCACCCAATATTTAAATTCAGAATCGTATCACATGCGTGTCATGCCTTCTGACATAAACACTTTTAAGCTTTGTTTTTAGAGTCGTATCGCATACGCATCATTTCTATAAATTATCATGTAAATCATTCAATTTTCCATAACAAAGGTCCGAATTTACAAATGGATTTAGCACTCTCAAATATCCGTAAATATTATTCTTTTCTCTCAATAAATATCATAAAAAGGATTTATCGGATATTCCAAGTGATATTCGATGGTTGATTGAAGCAAAAGTTCGATAATTAATTTTTGGGGAGTGGCTGTCGAACAGGAATATAAGGGTGTAGTGGGGTATATAGCATAAGATTTAATTGAAGAATTAATTATGTTTTCTATTTAATACATAGTCATGTGGTGTAAATAAATTTTGCTTGCTTGGATTTGAAACATAATAAGTTTTATATTTGTATTTAAAATCAGAAATATATATTGTTGGTCATTCAATAACTGACAATATTTTGCTCATTGACGAGTTATGTTCAAAGCAGTGCCACACACAAATAACTATCTT